CACGCGCGCACACACACACTGCAGCAGACAAACCCAGGCCTTCCAGGAGGGCGACCCCGGTTTCCTGGCTGGTGCCTCACTTCCCAGGGGCGGGGCGCCAGCCGGGACCTCGGTACCGCAGGGGTAGGTGTGGCGCGATGGGGCGGGGCTTTGGCCGGGGGCGGGGTTGAGGAGACCCCGAAAGTCCCAACAGCAGAGAGGTTAACGGCCACTGGGCTTGAACCCCTTTCTAGCTCATCACTCGCTCTGTGCCTTGGAACCTTAGTTTTCCTCTCTTAAAGTAGGCTTATAGCGCATGCTTCACAGGATGCAGTGAAATGATGCACGTTCAGAGCTCAGTGTAGCCCCCGGCCGGTGATAAACCCGTTGCCGTGGAGTCGACTCCGACTCACAGCGACCCTATAGGACAGAGTAGAACTGCCCCCGCAGGGTTTCCAAGGAGCGCCTGGTGTATTGGAACTGCTGACCTTTTGGTTAGCAGCCGAGCTCTTAACCACTGCGCCACCAGGGCTCCTAGCCTGTGACAGCACCCAAGAAATGGAAGTGTCAGAGTAATTGTGAGACAGCGCGCCTGTGGCCCTGTTTCACCTCCCAGGGAGGCGCCATCACGGAAGCCTCTCCCTCCCTGCTCGCCCTTCCTAGCACAGCAGCTTTCCTTCAGCCCTGCACCCCACCCCTAGAGTGGAGAGGAGAGGGCAGGGGCCGGGGAAGCAGGGAGAGAAGGACCATCTGCATTTTTTTTCTGAAAGGTCGCTGAGTGGACTCAGATCCCCACCCTTAACCCGGGTAGACAAACCTCCCGCTTTCATGATAGCAGAAACAGAACCCCAGGAATGCAAACATCCTCAATGTCACCAATAAACACTAATATGCAGTGGTTAAAACGCTCGGCTGCTAACCAAAAGGTTGGTGGTTCGAACCCACCAGCCGCTCCTCAGGAAATAGACATGGTGGTCTGTTTAGGTAAAGATTACAGCCTTGGAAACCCTATGGGGCAGTTCTACTCTGTCCTACAGGGTCGCTATGTGTTGGAATCGACTCGACAGCAGTGGGCTTGGTTTTTTAAATACCTTTATGGATTCGTACTGCTACCGAAAAACACGCACAGCCCAGCCTCAGGCCACAAGGTGTGTGGCAGCAGGGAGACCATCAGCAGAGCAGACAGGCCAGCTGGCCCCAGCCCTATTCAACCTCCACCTCCCACCAGCCCCAGCCACCTCCCAGGAGCCTTGATTCTGGTGCCCAAAGCAGCTCCCACCTTTATCCTCCAGGCTCCCTCCTACCCCTTCTCTCCCTTCCCTCATAAATCCTTAGTATCATACTGCCTCTGCTCCCCTGGTGAAAACAGCTTCCGGGCGGAGGGTAGGATGTGACAGCCAGGAACCAGGCCAGGGAGGTCCAGTGGCTTTGCAAGACCACACCACCTCAGGTGGCAGAGCCGGGCCTGGTACCCAGGCCCCTCACCGCTGTCTCCAAGCCCTGGTCTGTAGCTCAGGTAGAAGCACACCTCCCAGCCCAGGTGTTTT